TAAATAACATGTTCGGTTAAAAGAGCTTTCTCATGTTCGCGACGGCTCACCTCATCCTGATACTGGGCGAGGGCATGATTATAAAGCGCTTCGGCCTGAAATCACATAAAAAAGTTAAGGGAATGAAGATCGGAGTGGCCTGAAGCAACAAATGAGGATGGATGAAGTTACCCGCTCACAAAGCCTGCTCATCTCGCCGAAAATAGAGGAAGCATTAATCCCGGAGCTACCCTCAAGAGTGATCGCCGGCCTCCCGAGTGCGTCTCCGCCTTTGATCGGTGCTCCTGCCTTAGAAAGATCCTTATGAAGCTCGTCTCGCCCTCCAGAAGATGGAAGTATTCCCCCTTTTGAGGAATGAACATAACCAACAGGCCAACAGGTTCGGCCAGAATGTCCGCCCCTCGTTCATCCCAGGCCCCCGATCGAGGCTCCTTTAGATCGCCTGCTAAGGGTGTCCCAGCTCGAGAAGGGCTCCGGCCACCTGCCGAGTCAAAACCAGTACTCAATATCCCATCCGTTGCCTCGCCACCATAAAGACGGGCCGCACCAGTTTTGGACTCCTGTCCGGAAGCATTTATTTCCTCGGCCCAAGGAGCAATCATTCCCAAATGATCTTCGGAGAGTGTCGAAAAATTGCTTTCTCCCTCACCTTCAGCACGGGGATTTCCTACCACGCCAGAAGCCGGAACTTATGAATCAACCTTGGACTCTTCCAACTTGGTCCTTTTGAGCTTCGGTGGCTCAGTCGATGCACCCCTTTGCCTTTTCTTCTACTCGTCAAGCACCGGGATATCCCCTCCAACGGGCCGCACCTCCCTTGTCAGTAGGACTCCTCCCAGACCTACATAGATGCGGGGATCAAACGCACAGAAAGGAAATAGTTGCTGGCAGCAAGCTGTGCTAAAATGCGCGATACGTCAAAACTCAGAACTTACCATGATCTTTTGCTTCCCACTGGGTTCAGGATCAATCCCGCCATGCACGATCATTATACAAGCAGATCGAGTATAAACGGCCAACCCAACCCTGCAGATCCGGCATCACTCTAGGGTAGACCGCTACGGCTAAAAAGACAAAGAAGAAACAACAACATCAGAGACGTAAGGAGAAATCATCAAAGGGAAGCAGAGGCTCCGCATTCACTTACGCGCGGCATTCCACTTTTCAGGGAACGACATTCCTTCCATTGGGATCAGATCAGGCATCCTCACTCGGACAACGAAGCTTGATTAAGCCCCCGAGAAGGAGACGAGGGCTATGCATCCGGATCAAATGATTCAGAGTGAAGAGCATTCCCTCTATCATGCTCAAATAATGCCTGATCATATATACCACATGCCAGAACGAAGGATGAATCTGACCCAGAGTCACCTGATAACTCCGGTAGAAATCAAGAACCACAGGGTCGATCGGGGGCGATGACGATCCCGCCGGTCCTAAAGTAAATGGGTAGGTATACACGCTCAGAAAGCTGGCCCTATGAGCCGCAATGTCTTCATCCTGAGCGGGAATCTCCACAAGCATGGCATCCCCCCAGCAACAATCGACCCTCACTCTCCCGATATCCGTTATAGAACTAATATATCGAGTTACTAGTTCACGGCGTCCTGACTTCGAAGAGGGTCTCTCGGCCCTCAAATCTGAAGTCATCACAAAAGGACACGGAACACACTCCTCGACACGGGGTGGAGTTGCTACTTCGCCTTGGGAGAAAAACGAAGAAGACGAGCCCGTAAGGAAAGCAAAAAGCAAAGGGAAAACGAGCTTCACTAAAAGGTCCTTAATAGGATCCGAAAGGGAAGAAGTAAATATTTATAAGAGCATCATGGGTACATTAAAGGAAGCCAACCGTCGTAGTAATGCTGGAATCCACAGTAAGAGCGCACATAGCACGCCTTGACAGCCGCAACCGTTCTCAGGAACGGCAGAGGAAACATGAGTTCAGAATCATTTCTCATCGCTTCTCGTCACCTTCACTCTAAGAAACGCAGAGACTATCGATATGTGGCGAATTCGGGGGCCCGAATTCCCCATCGCAAGGCCATCTCGCAGTCATTCCCCTAGAAGTTTGGAGCCAAGGTCGGGACTCATCCCCAAGGTTCGTCTAGAGCTGATCCGAAGGGTATAGCATTCGGACTAATGGAGCGAACCGCAGCGAGCAAGGGGGAAGTTCCCAAGTCACGCAACTCGACCTGACAAGGACGGCTTATCTGAGGCCTATTTTCGAGGCATCATATCTAGCCATCCTATCTCTATACTTTCACGGCTAACATGTTTTGTATTACAAGAAATTCCCCTCCTATATAAAGGGGATCCCCACCTCTTTGTGGGGGCACGACAAGAGCTTTATTGATCATACTCAAGTGCAATAATATCTTCTCTCTCTTCTCTAATTTGCTTATTCCCCTTGGTTCAAAGTCATTTATCTTCGGTCATTCTCCTTACCACTTGGTACTGGCCCGAGGCCGCCCCCGTATTCATTGCTTCTTAACTTGTTCTTCATTCTATAGCTTAATATTGGCCGAAAGAGTCCTATTTAATTATACCTTTAACTATTATCCCATCCCTGGTTGTCCCCGGTAGTTCAAGATCGATATCAACGCCGACCCCGAGGTCCCATCGACCATCTCCGCCCTCGAATAACAGGCCCCTTTGGTTTGATTACTGCCTCGTCTTAGCTCACAGTTTATCATTATACTTCACGTTCTTAGCATTAACTGCTTTAACAACTAGCTCGGGAATAGATCACGTATTTTTAGAATCTCATTTACAAATCTAATTGTTGTTACCATTTTCACGGTAAACATCAAGGTTAACCACGACACTTACCTCACTTTCGCAATCAAATCAATGCTCAACCGCGGCTTTTCCTCTAAAATTAGCCTCCAAACCAATCAAATTTAATCAAATGTAGTACAAATAATTCAAAATAAGCTTTAAAAATTACCCTCGAGCGAAAAAATTCAATCTTTAATGTTTTTGAAAAAAGTCAACAAAAGTCAATTCCTGGCCCGCTTGGTCAAAACTCGAGATTCGAACCAAAACCCAATGACCCATTCACCCCCGAGTACGGTTATGTGGTTAGTTTCGAAATCTGATCTCAATTTGAGGTCTAAATCTCAATTTCAAAATCCCAATTTTTACCTAAATCCTTAATTTCTACCATGAAAAAGCATAGATAAATTATAAAATCATTGGTATTGCTTCTAGGACGAGCTCAAACTTGAAGATTGTAGAAAATTACCTAATTCCCGACTTTGGGATATTTTAATCACTAGGCGTTAGGCCTTCTTCACATTCGTAAAGGGCCTGACGCGATCGCGAAGAATAGCGGTCTGAGTGGTCTTCGCGTTCGAGAGAAACGCTATGCGTTCGCGATGGAATATCCCCCCTGGCCTTTACGTTCGCGTAGTGTACTTGACTGCCTCCCCCAGAATCCCATAAACCTTCGCGTATGCGAGAGGATGGTCGCGTTCGCGAAGGGTAAGCCTTCCAATGCTTCATGTTCGCGACTATTATGCCATCGTGTTCGTGATGAAGACATCCAACCAGCCCCAAGTTCCTATTCGCGATCGCGAGAGTACCTTCGTGATCGCAAAGCACAAAGTCTCAGACACCAGCAACAACAAAAACCAACAGATTCATTAAGTCTAAAAATGATCTGTAGCCTATCCGAAACTCACCCGAGCCCCTCAAGCTCCAAACCAATCATGCAAATAAGTATAATAACATCATATGAATTCGCTTGCAAGATCAAAACACCAAAATAACACCTAGAGCTACGAATAGGACATCAAAATGCATGAAATTTTCAAAGAAACTCAAGAACTTTCAAATTCACGATCGAACATCTGAATCATATCAATTCAACTCCGTTTTGCACTAAATTTTGCAGACAAGTCTTAAATATTAAAATGAACCTATAACAAGTTCTGGAACTAAAATTTGAACCCGGTAGCCATTAAGTCAACCTATGGTCAAACTTTTGAATTCTTTAAACCTTCAAATTGCTAGTTTTCAACAAATTATATCAAAATAAGTTAGGGACTTCCGAATTCAAGCTTAGACATACGTACGAGTCCAAAATCATGATACATACCCACCTGGTTCGTCAAAATACCGATATGGGTCTGTTTACACAAAATATTGACCGTAGTGAACTCAAATTATTTTTAAGGTTGAAATTCATATTTTCTTCAATTTTTCACATAAAACTTTCCGAAAAAAGGCACGAGCTGCGTATGCAAATCGAAAAATACTTAATGGAGCTAATCGGGATCTCGAAACACGAAAATTAAGGCTAAAACTCAAAATGACCTATCGGGTCATCACAAGACATGGTAATGTTTGTGCCTTAATTCAGATACAACTTGATCTTTGTTCATTCTTTGGCTGCACACCTTAACTGTCCTGTTGCTTTTACTAAGTATTGTGAACATCTAATTTTTGACCGTAATAGAGCTTTTATAACTTATTAGAATTTTTTTCTTCTTTTAGGTTTAATATCCATATTTAGCTTTTGCTTTATTTTTATTAGATTTTATTTAAGGAATTTGAAAAAAAAAAAACTGTACAAAAATAGTCGCATATTTAGTTTGTTTTGAAAATTCACAAAATGGCTAAAAGAGAACTAATCATTACTTGACACCTTGCCAGATTCCATCTTATCTTGTTTGATAGCAAAATTCACCCACGTCATTTTCACACCCAATTTTTACTCCATTATTGCATACAATTCATTTCAGCCCTTTTGTATTTTACGGCACTAAAAGATATTTATACTCAAGGAATGTTCTCTCACATACTGACACACCATAACAAACACACACTCACCTGCACCTTCCCAGCTACTCGTCCTCACGCCTTTAGAATTTAGATACACTACACAACACATACTACTATATATACACAAAACGAGAGAAGGAAGAAAAATTGTAGTGCCTTCTTGTGTAGGCAGCAGCTAGCTTTTCTTCTCCAACTCACATTAAACACCTTAAATTATCTCTAAATCTCCATACATTTACACAGAAAAGGCAGTTCGTTGGTTCTGTCCCTAGCTTGATAAAGCCTTTGTCCGATGCTCTGTTCGATCCTTGTTGGAGCTTTCACCTTCACTGTACATGTTTCAAAAGTTCAGCAATAAAGGTTCATTCTTTACTCCATTTCATCTTGCTAGCTTAGTAAATAATTTTGGTTAGACTTTTCCGTGCTAGCTTTTCTTTTGATCCTCATCTAAATTAGTAATTCATTTATTTCTTTGGAGTTATGTGACTGTTTTGACTTTCTTTATAAGAATTTGCTGAAATATTTAGATATATTCATGATAATAATCTCATGTCTGTTTGGTTCAATTAAGTGCCTTATACAACTGTTAAGCTAGTCTTTGTATTAGTTAAGAGAGACAGTAAATTATTAGTTGTTCAAGTGTAAAAGAAAGTTGCATGTTAAGAATGTAAGTATTAGAGACAATGGTGCTGACCAATGCATCCCAATTTGCCACGTTTGAAAGAGCGAAAGTGACTTTTGTTTCTTGTTTATTCTGTAATTAGCTCAAATAAAGATATCTTCCCTCGTAGCCTTACAAATCTTAAGGTTTCAAGACAGAAAATATTGGAAATATAGACATGTGGTGCTAGTATTTCTCTCGTCTTTGGCCTGCCTTTTTTCTCTGCACTAACTTCAACCATATTCCCAAAAAATTCTCTATATATAGATCAAATTTTATCAGTTGGGAAAAACAAAATAAATCTTTTGCCAACATATATTTAAAAAAAGTACGTGCATGTACAATAATTTCTTTTTTCTTCTTAAACATGCAAATATACTTCTATATTGCTACGATATGTTCGGTTTCTTATTTTCCTTCGTTGTTTTATGTTTTACAGGATGATGATGGCCAAAACATTTCAATTTGTCTGTGTACTTATTTGTTTCTTGGCCATTATTATCAACATTAAGGCTTGTGTAAAAGAAAATGCAACATCATACATAGATCAGGGATATTATGTCGAAAAAACAGTTGTTCACAGTGCTGTATCAAAAGGAGCAGGTTAATTTCCTTCACTAATTTAATATACATTTTGTCGAAGTGTGACTATCTCAATTAAAAAATTATATTATTTAAGAGAGCATACTTTTATTTACGCAATTATACTCTCAACACGTTGTCTCACGTGGGCTCAATTTTTTTCATGGGCCAAGCACATGAAAATTTGCTTTTATAACGGGTGGTAGCGAGACTCGACACGAGAACCTCTGCCTGCTCTGATATCATGTTGAAATATGTGACCATCTCATTTAAAGTTGAAGCGGTTAGAGAGAACACATATTTATTTATTTAGTTACATTCTCAACACATTTAATATAATAAAATTAAGTGATTTATGAATTGCAGAAAAAGTTAATAGTAACATTTTTTTAATGTGGCAGTGTGCTTGGACGGATCACCTCCAGCATACCATTTTGAACCAGGATTCGGAGATGGAGTGGGAAAATGGCTTGTTCATCTTTCGGTAAGTGATATATAATTCACTATGGCTACAATTGCTAGGGTCAAACGAACGCGCAATTATACATGGTCGATAAGAAATAGAATGATGAGTAGATTATCATCCCCACTTAAACTAGTGATTAATTATGAACTAAATTAAACTATTTACGAATTTTCCCATGTATATATATATATATATATATATATATATGTTGTTTAAAGATTTTTTGTTTTTAAATCTTTGGAAACTCTCACATTGTACTTAGGGAGGAGCATGGTGCACAACCGTGGAAGAGTGTCTGAATCGTTCCAAATCTGACTTTGGTTCCTCAAACTATATGAAACCATGGTGGTTTCAAGGAATTTACAGCAAGACTCAGAGTGTAAATCCAGGTATCTCTTTGATTAAACTAGTAGAAGATTTTATTTTTATCACAGCTGTTTTATTTTTTAATTTGGTGTTGCCTTAATTGTTACATTATTATTCTGTTTAGTTTGACATGTCATGATCTGTTTTCTTGATGTAAAATATGCAGATTTCTACAATTGGAACAAAGTATTTGTTAGATACTGTGATGGTGGAGCGTTCACAGGAAATGCTGAATACGTTGATCCTGTATGTTCCCTAATTTTAATCTGCTATATAATTTATCATTTATAATATGTAGACATTTAATAGAGAAGTCTAATCACATTCTTCCTTTTATTTTTAAGGCTACCAATCTTCACTTTAGGGGCGCAAGGATTTTTAAAGCAGTAATGGAGGATGTTCTAGCAAAAGGATTGAAGAACGCGCAGAGTGTAAGTAAATTTTAATTTGTCAACTTTTTTCAGCGGAAAAATAAAAAATAGCTTGATTTATAACTATTAATTGAAAATTAGCCACAATTTCAAAAGTAATCAAATTTAAATACTATTTCATGTAATAATAGAATCTGAACAAAAAATACTCTTAAAATCCGAAAAAATTACAGCATCACATGCCGGAGTTTGAATTTTTTATATATATGAGATTCCAACATAATGTGCTAGAGTTCCAACGTAATACGGTGGAACTTTATACCCAACAATTCTATAATCCAGCATTTTATGCTGAATCTTTTCATGTTTTAACTATGGTATTTTTATTCAAATTTTTTCTCTGCATAAAATAGTGACTATTTTTAATGATTTTGTAAATGCTTGCTATTTTTTAATTACCCGTCCAGAAACTGGCTATCCCATGCTATTTTGACCTCTTTTCATCAACCGCCCCGCCAAAATAAAGAGCTTTTTCGTATGGAGTGCTTTCCCTTTAATAGACTTACTCGGTACGAATTCATATTGATCAAGTTATCAAATCCATATGAAATGCCTAAAGCAAAAAAAAAGAAAGTACACTGCATATATAACGCCGGATTATATATATATATATATATCAAATTTCCTTGACTTTTTTCACTTTTTTTTACTTTTCTTGATAAAAATCTTATCTCAGCCACTCTTAACACATACTCATATAAGCTAATTATTGCAGGCACTTCTTATCGGAAGTTCTGCTGCAGGATACCCAGCAATGCTATACTGTGATCGCTTCCGTAAATTGTTGCCAAATACTCCTAGAGTGAAATGCCTGGTTGATGCTGGTTATTTTATTTATAACTGCATTCTAACTTTGGAGCTCTCTTTTTCTAACTATAGGAAGGATCCTCACCAAGCAAGAAATTTTACAGAAATGTATAAAGCAATTGTTAATCTACATGTAAATTCCTATTCCTTAGCTAATTACGTAGTATCTTTTTTTTTTTTTTGAAAAATTACATGATAAATATAAAAAAGAAAAAACGACACATGTTGGTTTGTGTGATCTAAACCTAATTATCTGAGCTACTGTGCAGGGATCTGCCAAAACGTTACCAAAATCATGCACTAAAAAAATGAAACCAGAAATGGTACAAACTGCTACCGATTGATTTAATTCATATTGTTTTGTGTATTTTTGCTAGTAAATTAATGGTCATTTATAAAAATGTTCCAATTCGTTATACGTAGTGCTTCTTCCCGGAGAACATGCAACACAAAATCAAGACACCACTTTACATTGCAATGTCGCCATTTGATAAATTCCAGGTACCTTGATATTTATCAATTGTTATCCTTCTATTTATTATGGTCCCGTGACGAAATCAAGAATTCGCTTAGGATAATCAAGATTTAATATATATATATATATATATGTATACATATAAAAGTACGTAACCTATATGCACCAAGGGGCGTATCTAGAATAAAGGTTATGAGTTCAATCGAACCTATAAAGTTCAAACTCTGGATCCGCCTCTGATATACACCGTATTTTTCGACGAAGTGGATCCTTTTCGTGACTTCAAAAAAAAATTCTCATGGGAAAACATCACATATGTATCTTCGGCTGTAGTTTGATAATGGATTACATTATTTTTCTCCATATACTATTTTGCAGATAAACACTACTATATACAATGGGATAAATACATGCATTGAAGGCGGAAATTGCACTGCAACTGAGAACAAACTCTTCAGAGGTTAGTTTCGTTTCTGGATAACCTTAATTACTTCTTTTAATTATTAATATTATTCGTTGGTGTATGTTCTAATACTTCTGGCTTTGATATTTCAGAGTTTAGGTTGGAATTCTTAAATGCTTTGCCCAAAGGAAATAATCCAAAATTAAGAGGAGCTTTCATTGACGCACGCAATCATCATACCCAAGTCCAAGGATGGTGGTCTCCTAAAAATGTCACCACCGTCAAAAATTTGGTACGTATGAT